CGACTTTAATGTCGTAAGATGTGGTGACTATGTGCTTATGTTGCTGAGGTGTTTTTTTTCTACATTCTACATTGTACTCCCTACTGGAGTACAGTCTGGGGGCTGTTTTTTTATTTACCTCCCCTCTCCTCATGTAATCCTCATGTTTCTCTGAGTTTTCCTATAGTCCCCTGTCTTCCTGACCTGTCTACCCCCTATAATGTGATGTTTGTATATGTATGGTTGGGTTGATGGCCTGCTTTTCGCTGGTACTTGTGACTAGTGACATGGTGATCATGAATTGCAACAGCAATAAAGGGAATTAATCAATCAATCAATTATACAATTATAATGTTTGTTACAATTTGTCTAAAACAGAAATCAGGTGTAAGTCTTCATATATATTTTATTTCTGTGCAGCGCAGTAATAAGAGCCATCAAATCCTTTTTGACTGATCACATTTAGAAGGTCATGTCATCTACTTTCCCTTTCCTTTGCTGCCACTAAGAGGCACTGCTACAATTTTGGGGCGATCTGTCTCAAAATTCCAATCTGTCACCCATGCAATGCCTCTGAAAAGTTTGAAAAACTCAACAGGCAAAGTGGTAACAGACAAGTCATAAAAAACCATACATATTCCCCAAAATGCAATGTTCCAAATTTTTTTGAGCCCCTGTCATTCCACAAAAGTCTGTCTAACATAATTTAAATCAATTTAAAGGTTTTTGGATACGGAGTCGACACGCAGCTTTGCACCGGCAGCTAACAAACATGTCGATCACAGAACGAACCACCAAGCACAAACATTCTAACCATTTAACCCAGCGTTATTTTGTCACTCATGTTAACTCTCATATGCGATAAGCTTCCATAGTTTAATGCTCATGCTCTGTTTAGTACTGATTAAGTTATCATTACCAATATATTTGGGCTAAACCAGGTCAATCTTTCTAGAATGATTAATGATACCAATAGAGCAGCGGTCACTAACAGGCGGACCGCGCCGGACCCGGACCCAGAAGCTGTCCCATACGGACCTGGACCGATAGCCAAAACAGAAAGTTATGATTTAAAACCTGATGGGGCCCTTCTATTTTAACCACCACAGCTTTTGTAGTCCTTTCGGTAGTGGTTTAGCACTAGAACTGCCGCTTCCCACAGCAATGCACGTCAAACGCCTTTAACTGCGAAGCGTAGTTCGGCGTATGCAGCCCTTTGTCTGCTCTAATGTGCCATTAGTGTTAATAACAGCAGCAAAGCGACCAAAAAGCCGTAATGTTCCTAACAGAGTGGCTGCTTAATAACAGCAGCGAAGCGAACACCCGCAACCAAAAATCCGTAATGTTCCTAAAAGAGTGGCTGGTCTGTCCTGAAATCATATAGCTGAAAAGTTTTCAAATACAGTATGTATTATATAACATGTTGGATAAATAGACATAGTTTATTGGTGATTTCATGTTCGTGGAAGTTTCTGCTTTTTAACATATGTGTAAAGTAATATTATCTGTTATCAGGGGCGTTGCTAGAGATTTTGGGCCCCATGAAAGCTTATCATATTAGGCCCCCCAGTCCAAACCAATCCAGTTATTTTCCTAATTTTTTAGTGCCCCTGTCACTCAGGGGCCCTTGGAATCGTCCTAGCTTTCCTCCCCCTTACGGCGCCCCTGTCTGTTATATAGATCAACTCAGGTGAAACAAAAATTGTACGTTTTCAGCATCTGGCACGCCACTCATGATTTCAGACTTGCGCAGGAAATCTTACAGCAAATCTATATTATTCCATTATAAACCTAAAATGAGCTACGTCAAAAGTGTGTTTACATGGTTAAATAAAAAAGCATACTATTTACAAGGTAAGAACTGTTACATGTGTGTGCAGACATCTCAAATTGAATTGCACTGAATTAATTTGATTTGACAGTCAGGTACTGATTACATGCAATGTCGATACAACTGATATGCTACTTAAATATACATCACACTAAATAGTTAGACATTATGATCTTCCGGACCTTTGCTTGAAGAAATTTTCTCTAACTGGACCTCTTTAAATATTAGTTGAATACCCCTGCAATAGAGCTATTGAACTAATTAGAATTTTTAAAATCCCAATATCGCAATATATATCGCAGAAAGAATAAATATTGCAATGTGATTTATTCCCAATATCGTGCAGCCCTACACAGGTGTATAAAATCAAGCATCTAGACAGCTTCTACAAACATTTGCATGGGTCTCTCTCAGGGGCTCAGACGAATTCAAGCGCAGTACAATGATAGGATTCCACCCATGCAATAAGTACATTTGTTAAATTTCCTTAAGAGGTAAATATTCCACGGTCAGCTGTTAGTGGTATTATAACAAAGTGGAAGCAATTGGGAACAACAGCAACTCATCCACAAAGTGTTAGGCCATGTAAAATCACAGAGGGGACAAAGCATGCTGAGGCACACAGTGTGCAGAGTCAATAGCTACAGACCTCCAAACTTCAAGTAGCCTTCAGATTAGCTCAAGAACAGTGTGTAGAGAAATTCATGGAATGAGTTTCCATGGCAGAGCAGCTGCATCCAAACCTTACAACACCATGTGCAATGCAAAGCGTCGGATGAAGTGATGTAAAGCACCCCGCCACTGGACTCTAAAACAGTGAAGACGTGTTCTCTGGAGAGATGAACCATGCTTCTCTGTCTGGCAATCTGATGGACGAATCTGGGTTTGCTGGTTGCCAGGAGAACAGTACTTGCCTGACTTCATTGTGCCAAGTGTAAAGTTTGGTGGAGGGGGGGATTATGGTGTGGGGTTGTTTTTCAGGGGTTGGGCTTGACCCCTTAGTTCCAGTGAAAGGAACTCTTAATGCTGTAGAATTCAAAGCCATTTTGGTATAATTTCATGCTCTCAACATTGTGGGAACAGTTTGGGGATGGTCCCTTCATGACTGCACATCAGTGCACAAAGCAAGGTCCATAAGAACATGAATGAGCGAGTCTGATGTGGAGGAACTCGACGGCCTTCTCGTCCAACATCAGTGCCTGACCTCACAAATGCTCTCATGCAAGAATGGTAAAAAATTCATAAACACACTGCAAAACCATGTGTACAGCTTTCCAAGAAGAGTTGGATCTGTTACAGCTGCAAATTGTGGGCTAACTCCATATTAAAGCCTATGTATTAAGAATGGGATATCATTAAAGTTCATGTGTGTGTAAAGGCAAATGTCCCAAAGCTTTTGGTAATACAGTGTGTGTAGTGAAATGGTTGTGATGAAAGGAAAATTTTGATAAACTGCATTAGAGTGAATGCAGGGACTATTGTGTCCCACCAATGACATGTTCGTGGATATGCCCAAACAACAGGTGACAGCTGTCTTCTGTATAACAGCAAAAATTCAGCAAATAAATTACAAAAAATTTGTAATGCTTTGTAATGTAGCTAGTTAATGCTTTTCAAAAAAGAGTGTTTTGTCTAATGGTAATTTATGAACTAGGTTGCTCCAGCTAAACGTAAGTACTGTTGTAGCCTACAGTGGACATTCAAGTTAACTAAAAAAAAATCAGTTGGACGAAAAATTGCACAGACAGAACAACCTCTTTTGTTTTTAACATGCAGTAGAACAGGATAACATTCTCAGAGATTATTTTAATAACTTGCTATCTTTTCCGCTGATTTAAGATAAAAAAGGTTGCCAGCTGGATATGTCAACCTCAGTCTGAGCAGTTAACATTAGTTGGCAAGCTGTCTAATTGCAATTTTGTTTTCTCAAGATAAATATTACTTTGTGATGTTGGAAAAACAACCTTGGCTATGCTGAGATCATTAGAAAAATAAGTTGTGATCTCAACATAAGATAAATATGGATGTCCTCAATGGAGTTACGTAAAATGCAGAGCTCCAATGAAAACATACAAACAAAGCAGTTGTGTGTTCACATGAACCAGGCATCTAAAAAGTTTCTTGCTTTAAGTTCTTTACGTAATAAATGGAAAATAACAATATATTTGTCCCCTTTTTTTGTTAATCCGAAAAATAATCAGATTCCTGATTCAAATACTGCGATACCAGCCGAACCATGAGTTTTGTAATGTGTTGCAGTCCTAAAACATACGGAGTAAGCTACTTAGCGAACACACTGATGGTGGCACTTTACAGTTTTCCATGACAACCATGGTTGAAATACTTCTCACAAATGCAGAGAAAACAAATCAGTTGCTATGTATAACCTAAACTCGAGAAACAGTTTTTTTTATCCCAAACAACTAAGCAGCCCCTGTAGGAGGACTTTACTGAGGGTAGATGGCAAATGTGAATACAATACTTGAAAATCTGTGCTATTCACAAGCAAAGCACGTGGAACAGAGAGTTGATTCCAGACAATGATACTCACTGGTTGTCCATGACAAACATGTCATTCTGTGCAACAATATTTTTAGTAGTGACTAAGTACAACATAACTTTAGTAGCAGTGGTGCAACAAAGAGCGCGAGCTAGTCTAAAATCCACTTAGTTTCAACATGTGATGTAAACTTTACATCCAGCTTTACAAGTGAAAATGCTGTGTGCCCATAATTGTGTGCATACTCGCCATCCATTATAAATGTCATTTTTAACCAGTGGAAACCGTGCCACTTAATCACCACCTGAGAACTTGCTCCCTGTCAGCACTGGCACAACACTAGTGGAAAAGATCTACAAGGCAGTCAAAAAAAATTATGTTGAAACAAACTTCATGTTGATGTAAAACTAATATATTATGCCTGTCAAAATTCTTCCTGTTTTTATCGTGTTACTGTCAATTTGCATATATTCAAATGTTTAACTTAGTTTTTTTTCCCTGAGCAAATATGCACTTCCTGCCCTGGTAAAGTGCTTTCAATATTTTGCACACTACTGTATAAGCTTTCATACATAACACTGGCTGTTTGGCTTTGTTTATCATTGTTGTTGTTTGAACATGAGTGTATTAAGCACCACTGAGCAGGGCTGCTCCTGGGCTGGGCTCTGGTGATCACTGACAGGGATGTACCTTGCAGGTCAGGCCCCAGAGTGGTGATGAGAGCATTGAGACAGCGGCCCAGGCTTTGCAGGACCTCCACCTGGGCAGAGGGCACTGTCAGCAGCAGCCGCAGCACCAGGCTGAATGTGGGCTCCACGTGGGCATGGCTCATTGCGCCAGCACAGTCAATGAGTAAAGAGAGGGAATGCAGAGCCCATACCTGCCCGAGACAAAATGGCAGCAGATCACTGCATAAGAACTATGTATTTCAACAAACAAATCCCAAATTAAGCAACATTGAACAAACTGATGACCAGTTACCACCAAGGTTTCATAGATCTTCCAAACTTCTGAATTTTGTATCATAGAAAAATTTATACAGGGTACACAACAATACTGATCGCTATACAGATTATAAAAGAATTAATTGAATAGTAAAGGGTTTTACCTGAACCTCAGGTGCGGTGCTGTCCTGAGAGAGCGTAAAGAGGATCCCCACACAGGCACTAAGGTGCTGGGGGGAGCTGACCCCACCCATGTAGCGGTACAGGGAGCCTAACGCCAACGCGTGGCCCGAACGTGATGCCGCATCCCTCACCAACTTCAGTCTAGAGCCCGGAAAGAAAGGGCTTAGTGTACAGCCTCACCAAATCAAGATAAGATATCTGAGGCAACCAATTATTTCAGCTAATACTGTCAGGTACTGTATATGCTCTTATATGTCCTTATACAGTGGAGGAAATAATTATTTGACCCCTCGCTGATTTTGTAAGTTTGTCCAATGACAAAGAAATGAAAAGTCTCAGAACAGTATCATTTCAATGGTAGGTTTATTTTAACAGTGACAGATAGCACATCAAAAGGAAAATTGAAAAAATAACTCTAAATAAAAGATAGAAACTGATTTGCATTTCATTGAGTGAAATA